AAACAGAGCATGTTTGGCCTAGCAGTAGTAAAAAATACCCTTTCTGCCCTAAAAAGCCCAGATTATTTAATAAAAACCAAAACAAAACCAAACTTCAAAAAAAAACCTATAGCAGAAGTACCCCTTCTATAGATATTGGACTTGTATAAACTCTGTCAGCCAACTTTGTTGTAACTGGAGATTAGTAGCGTGTTATGAAGTGGCCTGAGATTTAACAGGGAGTGCACAAATACCTTACTTGAGATTTGCCCAAAGTGTTGCTGTCCTTGCTGGACGATAAAGGAGAGAATACAGCAAGGCATCGGAGACATTTAGCATCCACTTTGTTGCCAAGTATAATGCTCTGCATGAAAAGGTCAAATGTAATTGCACATGTCAGGAACCAACAGAACAACTGAAACTCTTACTGCAACTCACCATTGCACTGAGCTGCTAAAGAAAAAAAAAAAACAAAACAGAAGAAAAAACAGGGAAAAAAAGAAAGTAAAAGGAAAAAGAGAACAGCTGTGGGCCTGAGCACCAACATGGGTGCAATAGGAGAGGAATAAAGGGGAGCTTTAGGGACAGCGTGTTTTAAATATGCCCTTGCATTGTATCCCCAGGGCCAGGGGATAGATGAAGGCTTTTGTACAGCAGGAGTCAGGTTCCTCATAAAAACCGCCTTGTCTCAATCTGTAAGAGAAAGAAAATGAGGAGGGACACCCTGCACTGAGCCAGGGACATTTCATTGTATGGTGCTGGCTGCTAGGCTCATACAAAAGCAGCCCCACAGACTGCAGGAGCCCGGCTTAGGTCCTTCTCCAACTGCCCACAGCACCGCAGCCTACCCAGACCAGCTCTGGAGAGAGCTTGGACAGCCACCCAACAGTTTGCCTTCTGGAATACAATAAATACATTTTTTAAAGTGCAAAAGCTGCCACTGACCTGCCCCTCGGTATTGCAGTCTGTTAGAGGAAGCACAGGTCTGGAAGCCCCTTTCTTGCTTACTGGCCTGGACCCCAGACACCGTGGGAGTCCCTGGCCCAAGCACGGGCAGCAGTACCTCTGCCTGCAGTGGTGTTGGATGTGACAGTTTGGTTCAATAACACGAGCAGTGCAAGAACTAATGGTGATTTTTCCGTTAACATTACTGGGGACAAATAATGACATTATGAAATGACAGTGGGGTAGGCTTTGAACACTTCAACGACTTCTATGGCAATCTTGAAAAAAATGCAAGAAATTCAGTAATTAAACTGATAGCACGATAAGAGCTTTCCTATACACTGCACATCATATTTCCCCCAAAGAAAAGTATACTGCTGGCCATAAACCTGTGGCCATTCTCAAGTGAAAAATCGTCTGACTTCAGTGGAAATTATGCTTTAGAAAGGACTTCTAAATCTTGGCTCTTCCTTTGTATCTATTTAAGTATTATCTGGTTTTGCACCTGGAGAATAAACAACATATACCACCCTGTAAGTCAAGCCGTGGAATTTTTCCAAATAACTTATTAGCACAATGTCTCAATAAATCTCTCTGAAGGGAAGAACCTGTCATGGAATAACAAGTATAGCATAAGAAAGAGAAACAAGGCTGTAAAATACAATAACAAAACACCTTTAAACCACTGTACATTAATGACTTAAGGGATACTGGGAAAAGACCGAGATCAGTCCAAGGAGACAGCTTCCTTTCAATTCTGCAAATAACATTTCCTGCAATACCTTGAAAGCAAGAACAACAGCAACCATACCACAGCGTGGCAAGGCTTCAGATTTAAAACCATGGAGGAGGGAAGAAGAAAAAGACATGAATCAGAGTTGCCCGTTAGGAAAGAACTATGTTCATCAGTTGCCTGGGTGGGGGTTCTCTGCTTGCTTTTTCTATCAGCCTGTTTGTGGAAAATGAACTAATACAACCCATCTCTCAAAATCCTGGTCCCACCAAACCTGTAAGTGCTCCCCAGCAGGAGCAGGTATTTTGAGAGGAGACAGCTCAAACAGGAAACATGTCCCATTAAGGTATTTTCATATTGGCATTTTCTTTGAGACTCTTGGTGTTCACTAACTTAACCTACATTCTCAATCCGCTATCGATTCATTTACACTAAAACAAAAGACAAAGTTAATGGTTTGGGGTTTTCTTGTTGTTTTAATCCATGCTTTGGTGACATAAACACATTGGGCAACAATTATTGACCACTGACTCCCACAGAGAGATCTACATCATTCAAGTGTACCTATATGGAACTCACCACGCTGTGAGACAACCAGAGCTTTCAATTAGATGCCAAAGCATATCAGAAGCTCTCTATTTAGGGCTGCTGTTTTTAAATGTCAGAGGCTGCACCAAAACCCAGAAAAGACCTAGTTTAGTAAGCAGACTGTTTTTCCTGACTTTCCTTTCTGATTTCCCTACACCCAGACATTTCTACCGTGGGGTCCACTGCAGTGTTTCAGCTCTGCCTCGTGACAAGCAGTTCTTCCCTGGGCTCTGTTGTTATACTGATTCTTTCCTTATGGCTCCACTTGCTGTATGCCTCACCAGTGGAAGATCAGACAAACAGTGTTTGCTTATGTTTTTAAACTAAAAACATCTGATGTATAAAAAAAACATGCATCCTGACTTTGTCCTTCAGATGAAGTCCCACCAGCAAATGATAGCACGATGCATCTGTACTAAAATCTCTGCAACAAGACCTGTCCTTTTCCCAGAAAGGAATGGTCTATTGCTGTACTCAGACATGCTGCTTGCATAACATTGGGTCAAGAAAGAGAGAAAGAAACAGGCTTTTAAAATTATAAAACCCAGCTGGAATATTTAGAGTTGGGGAGATGGTAAGACCTGGATTTAGAGATGCATCTAAACACTGGTGTGGCTATCTGAGGCTCTTATTGGACCTCGATGCTTCATCCAGGTCACAGCTGTAAAACAGAATTGTCGTCTCGTTGCTGTAGTAACGATCCTGGAAATACTCACATCCAGTTCAAACTAAATATATTTTTTATTTTTTCCTATTATTTATAAAGTGTAATCTTCCTCAAGTCCAACAGTCATCCTGAAACAGGGTGTTCAGTGATGAATACTCCAAGACCTTACCAGGCGTATTGTGTTTCCTTTGAAAAGTTGAGATTCCAAAGTGTTTGATACCTTGTCTTGCTATCAAGTATTAAAATTCATGCACATTTTTTCTATTGCCCATAAGTCCTAGACAGGCCTCATATGAAGCCTATGGGTACTAATAACCAGCAAAAAGCCACTAATATCGAAAGCATTTTCGTAGCTAGCAAGACAGGTAGATGGTGTGAGGTTAAACACCGATGACTGTTTTACAACCGGGAGTGCTGTGGCAACAAGTGACTGTGTGAAGAGCTTGGTGGTGTGCAAAAGCAAAGCTGTGGCAAAGCTGGGACCAGAGCCCAGCTCTTCTTGCTACCATTCCAGTCTTAACTTTGGTCCATTCAAATGTTTTCTGAATATTTGGTCACTTCCTTCTTTTTGTTGTTTGTGGCATAAAAATCTCTCAGTCTCCTAAGAAGTCCCATAGCTGCTTCTGTACAACTGAAGAGTCCTTCATTTAGTCTGTCTTGCACACACATGCTGAGCTGGAGACATGGATCCTGTTTGCAGAGTTTCTACAGAAAATGGCAACAAAGAGGACAGATACAGAGATACAGATGGAGGGCAAAAAGATGGCTCCCAAATATAAAGAAACACTTGTTGACAGATCCTGTTCTCAGCAGGTCTTTGTGGAAGAGCTCAGATTGAGACTGAAACCACCACGCAAGGCATAGACAAAAGGCTCTGTGTTTTCATACACTTCATCTCCTTCTTTTTTTTTTTTTTGCTAGCTCAGCCCTTTAAAAGAGACTTAAAGGAGTGGAAAACTAAACCAAGGGTAAAACTTTGTATAAAAGGCAAAGAGTTATTACAAAACGACAGCGAATTTGTTTTAAAATTGGCCATTGATAAAAAAGGAAATGATCTGTCAAGTGTGACTTTGAAGAAACAGGGTTTTCCTTCTTCACTTTATTTCATTTTGTGCCACAGCGTTTGCGTGGTCTAACAAATGAAAACGTTGATATGAACCACATCAAACGTGAACCCAAACCCCTAGGGCTCAGACACATGCTGAATCACTGCAGTGTGATATACTGCCATGTGCTGAAACTGTGACAAATGCGGAATAATTCAGCCCTTTTTCTCGGAGAAGGCTGTACCCTGTACTTGCTGCAGGTGATGAAGGTGAATATTGGTGTTCCTCGTGGCTCAGCTGGCACGTGGGACCCTGCTCACAGGTCTCGCGCACTCGCATGTTTCCTCTGATTCCCAAATCAAAACTTTTTCTAATGCCTCCAGACAGCAATGGTCTTGCATAAAGAGAAACCATTTTGGCTGATGCAATGAGGCAGCCTCCGACCAAAAGCAAGACAAGTGCTTTAAGCGCTGTATATCCAGGGAGCACAGGGAAGAATGTCTTTGCCTCCTTCTTCACTAGACTGAGCCATCTCTGTTTCTATCTACATTACTGCAAGTACCTCTAACAATACTGGTAAAAGCTGCCCTTAACAGATAGGATCATTTTCTATGAACTGTATGTTAGACAAACCCACTGTACAATATACAGTCTTGTCTAAATGATATTATTTATTTTGTAGCTTTTAAATCAGTTTTATTTACAACAGGTCATAGAGTACAGCTCACACGCAGTAGTTAAGCTCTGGCAGTACTGACGTCAGGTCGCTAACACATTTGCAAATTACATTTCTAAGTCATAGAAAATGAAAGAAAAAAATTACTTTAAAATAACTGTTTTCTCTTCAGGTATAAGGATCACAGAACAAATTTGCAGGTGGCTGTAAAACCCAGCCGAGGGCGCTCCCCGGGGAACCCCGGCGCCACCGGCACGCCGAGCGCTGCGGTGCGGGGACACAAGCAGTGGCAAATGGTCTGACGCACGCGCGGCTGCGCAGTTCAGTGACTCTCTGTGATGGGGCTCGAGGCAGCTCCGTGCTCTTTTAATGGCCCCACTCCTCTTCCCTTTCACTGACTCCCTCTTCTTCCTCTGGAAATGCTGAATCACTCTGACTTTTCAGGTGCTTAATCCCTGAAAATATAGAAGTCATGATTACAAAGTTGTGGTAGCTCATATCAGACATTTTTTTCCTGAAAGAAGAAACAAACAAAAAAACCAGGCTCATGGAATGGGTTTTTTAATGCCCGTACTGACTCCCTTTTTCACAAACCTCTTAGTTCAAACAATACTACTGTGTATTGCCAACAGAATCACACAGAATCACAGAATGGCAGGGGTTGGACAGGACCTCCAGAGATCATCTAGTCCAAACCTCTGCTCAAGCAGGGTCACCTAGAGCAGGTTGCACAGGACATCATCCAGGCGGGCTTTGAATATCTCCAGAGGAGACTCCACAATTCCCCTGGGCAGCCTGTTCCAGTGCTCTGTCACCCTCAAGGTAAAGAAGTTCTTCCTCATATTCAACTGAAACCTCTTATGCTTCAGTTTGTGCCCACTGCCCTTTGTCCTGCCGCTGGGCACCACTGCAAAGAGTCTGGCTCCGTCCTCGTGACATCTACCCTTGAAATATTCCCTTTCTTGAATATAGGCTCTTCAGAAATTTATCATGTTTTGTTGGAAAACCTGATGAAAGGCACCTTGTAGAACAGAACATTATTTGCTTCTCTTTTTTGCTTGGTAATCCTTGATCATATTAGCATTGCCCATCTCAAATAAGTTCAAACTTTTCAAGGCTCAGACAGTAGAGGTGGGAATTATTCTACCAGAATTTCAACTTAGACCTCTTTCTGCGACTGATCTGCTGGAGGTCATTTCTCACACAGACCCAGTGCCCCATGGTCAGAGCTTCCCATGTGCACCCAGAGGTGTTCTCCAGTGTGTGTCCCGATATTCTGTACATGACCTACAGAGCAAAGAGAGCACTGCACCCAACAGAGAGGGAACTGCTGGAGCCAAAGTGGTGACAAAGTTGGATCCTTTCTCACATCACGTGTGTTCTGTTGACCTTTAAATGCCACATGGGGCTGGATGAAAAGGGTAAATAACTATCACAGGGTATTTTGAAGTTTAGGTTTGAAGAAAGTTGGCTGGTTTCAGCCAGCAAGTGAAGCAGGTTCTATGAAAATTAATCAAATTGCAAAGTTATTTTCCCTGTTCCAAGTTCAGTACAAGCAAACAGGCCTTAATGAATGGGCCTAATCCCATCTTCTCAGCTCTACCTTGGTGTGATAGAAGAATTCAAGCTAAAAAAGGAAGCAAAATCAAGCTAAAATGATGACAGAAAGACCAGAGAACAACAAGGGTAGTTGTTTTAAAAAAATCTAAACAAGTGCACAGGATTGGTTTCTGGGTCCCCTGGTTTTTAACAAAAATAGTTGTAGTGGGAGAGTAACTGTTAGTTAAAAACGTGGTTTCAACAAAACATAAGCCTGAATTAAGTTTTCTGGTGTTGTTACTGTCATAACATGAACGCATTTTTTTACAGATCATACATAGGTCTACTCACTACTTGTAACTGTCAGAAAAAAAGCTTCCCTTATGCATCATTTCCTCTGTTTGATGAGAAGAAATGGCTTTAGACAACCGCAGCTGGAAAACCAAACACCCCACTGTCACAGCACTTGCAGAGGCACAATTTTCAAAAAAGTGGGGCACCCTCATGGCATACAGGGCGAGATCCAGATTACTTCGAATTGTGAGGAAGAGGAATTGCTGGTGTATGTCCAGGAGTCATGGCCCCAGCATCACTTAACCTGGAGGCTCCTACGTTTCACTGTAAACAGTTTACTCCACTCCAAAATATGCAATTATTTTTTATTTGGAAAAAAAAATTCAACATAAATTATTCTAGTTCAACAAAGTTACAAATAGCTGAAAACAGGATCTTACAATGGGTCTTACAACAGGAGTAAGTGCAGCCCGCTCCGCTTCCAACAGCAGCCCATCACTGCTCTGGGCTGGGCTCTGGGCTCCTCTCTTTTTTTTTTTTCCTCACGGTACTTGTTTCCCTGGGAAGCTGTTTTTCAGACTTAAAACAAGCAAATAAATTAATGCTCCCAAGCTATGGGACTTGTAAATGTGCCCTGCAATAATCAAACCACTTCCAATTAAGTAACCATGATACATGAAGAAACACTCAGGGTGCTCAGCTACGAGCAAGCTGGGCTCCTTAGCAGTCCTCTTCAGTAAGACAAACAGTTTAAATGTTATTTCACCTAACTATAGGTTAATGGACATTCATTTTAAAAATGATATTGTGTTTGTAAGGCAGATTTGTCTCCTGCTGTTTACCTCTGGACTTACAGAGCCATTCCTTTCACATTCACAGCACCCGTCTAACAGCTACTGTTCAGATGGGAATTTCTAAGAAGCAGAATGTATTGTTCTTTAGGGAGTTTTTCAAAGATTAAAAAGGGAAAGTTATGGACAGAAAAGAGGGCATGTGGTATACAGTTAGTGTGGTGAAGCTTCATGGATTTGTATTTTTGGTAGGAGAGCAGACTCTTGTCTATGTGGTTTGATTATAATATTCAATGTGAAAATTGCAGGAAATGGAAAGGCATGACATCAATAAGTGTTACCCATTGATTTTCACGTAGCAGGCAACTATCAATCTTACTGAATGATTTTTTTCACAACCTCCAGTCTACAGCTTGCCTTCACCTCTGCCAGTCATTTAATGCCACACTGTCACTTGGAAGTAAAGGCTCACAGGGTTTTCTGTACTGATCAATAAGTGCACAAGACTTGATGTCATTATTCATAAGCCTCAAGATGTTCTGACGACATCAGGTTGTCAGAATTAACCAACCCTATATGTGGCATTATAAAATAAACCACTCAGCTACACAACGAAATAAGTTAGCATGAATCAGCAGACAGGTAATGAAATTCCTGTTGGTAACATATGAACAGGCGTGTCAGAGAAGGCCGGTGGCTTTCCTGAAAAGATGCATTTCATGCACAAAGCGTCAGATTTAGTGCAAAAAAAAAAAAAAAGTCTGGGGTAATAAAAATACTTAATTAAGTGACAGCAACCATACTCTTAGATTAAAAGAGTACCTAGCCACGTAACACTGCAGTAACTGGCAGTGCCTGCCAAGGGTGGTCAGGAGGCGCTGGAGCTGGGCATGCCCAGGCACACACTGGCACATTCATCCACAGCTCCTGCTCAGCTAGAACAAGTCAGAAGAAGAGGCCACCACAGCGGCTCTCCAGTGTCACGCTCGCAGGGTTGTTCAAGCTCCGAGCCCTGCCCTTTGTCAATACGAAGCAAGTGATAAGCAGGTAGCAAGGTGGAGCTCTATCCACAGAGATATTTTTTTTCTACGCAAGTTGGATCTATTCATACCAACTATCTTTGTTTAGCAATATCTAAATTGTTTGCTGAAAGGTAATATTCTGGCTAGAGATGGAGTGAAAACTTATTACTCAGATCATTGATTTTCACGTAGCAGGCAACTATCAATCTTACTGAATGATTTTTTTCACAACCTCCAGTCTACAGCTTGCCTTCACCTCTGCCAGTCATTTAATGCCACACTGTCACTTGGAAGTAAAGGCTCACAGGGTTTTCTGTACTGATCAATAAGTGCACAAGACTTGATGTCATTATTCATAAGCCTCAAGATGTTCTGACGACATCAGGTTGTCAGAATTAACCAACCCTATATGTGGCATTATAAAATAAACCACTCAGCTACACAACGAAATAAGTTAGCATGAATCAGCAGACAGGTAATGAAATTCCTGTTGGTAACATATGAACAGGCGTGTCAGAGAAGGCCGGTGGCTTTCCTGAAAAGATGCATTTCATGCACAAAGCGTCAGATTTAGTGCAAAAAAAAAAAAAAAAGTCTGGGGTAATAAAAATACTTAATTAAGTGACAGCAACCATACTCTTAGATTAAAAGAGTACCTAGCCACGTAACACTGCAGTAACTGGCAGTGCCTGCCAAGGGTGGTCAGGAGGCGCTGGAGCTGGGCATGCCCAGGCACACACTGGCACATTCATCCACAGCTCCTGCTCAGCTAGAACAAGTCAGAAGAAGAGGCCACCACAGCGGCTCTCCAGTGTCACGCTCGCAGGGTTGTTCAAGCTCCGAGCCCTGCCCTTTGTCAATACGAAGCAAGTGATAAGCAGGTAGCAAGGTGGAGCTCTATCCACAGAGATATTTTTTTTCTACGCAAGTTGGATCTATTCTTACCAACTATCTTTGTTTAGCAATATCTAAATTGTTTGCTGAAAGGTAATATTCTGGCTAGAGATGGAGTGAAAACTTATTACTCAGATCATCCCAACCATTTTTACAACTGCTAGTATGGCAAGGCTAATTTATTAGAAAGGATATTTGCTTCTCATCTTTTCAATCTTCATACACTAGCAACAGAGTTCATGTCCCCAGCTTTCTCAAATAGTAATCAAGAGGCACCAGAACACTGTTGTTTGGGGTTTGTTTCTATTAATCGGTAAAGCACTGTAGTAAAGATGAGCAACAGAGATGCTAAGATTTTACTCATAGGAAGAAAAAAAAAAGAACAAAACAGAGCAAAGCCAGGATATTTGAAGGGGATATATGGGGGATATTTTAGAAGATACTGTTTGTACATACAACGGATCTCAAAACCTCAAGTTACGGATTCCGTGTAGACTACACAAGCTTCATAATGTTAGTTGCAAACAGGGAGGACTGCAAATGCTGATGACCCTGTCTCTGCAATGTCCCTTATTCCAGGCAGTGGGGAGCGCTGAATGTGCGGGCACCCTCACCCTCCTGAAGCACTGGGCCTGCACCGCCTTGATGCCGTATCATTTTCCCTCACTGCTCGGCCCCCCCAGCCCGGGTTGCCCTGCCCTGCTCTTCCCTTGCATGTGAAGGTGGCTCATGGGGTCCGAGCCATCCCGCTGACCCCACTGGTCCCCAGTCCCCACTGGCCCTTCTGCCTGGGGATGGGGCTCTGTGCCCAACCCGACTGCTGCTCCGCAATGTCACGCCCTGGCTGGGGCTTTGCTCTTTGCCTGGGAGGTCTGACAGCAAAAACCCCCTTCCAGCCTGAAGGCTGCCTCTTCT